AACGAGATGCATCTTTGAAAACATAATTTCCGGAACGGAATGGAGCAAACCACTACTGGGTGTACACTAACAAAATCCTTACTATAAACTGTAACTGTAAGGTTTATAGTAATAAACTGCAAGCCCTAAGGTTTGTAGTAATAAACTTCAAAAAAAAAAAAAAGATCTGCCATAATAAACTGCAAACCGTAATATTTGAAATAATAAAGTAACATAAAGCGTATTTCTTCAGATATTTTACTGCTTTTCAAATCAATATAACTTTTTACACTAGCAACGAAGAAGACAACTGCTATCATCAAAAAATATAGCCCGGTATGGGTTATTTCACATAAATGTATTACAGTTGAAAGATATACAGGTCTAGTGACAAAAAGCTAAGGTTACTTTTTAGTATATATTATTCAATATTAGCAGTTGGTAAAATAAAGTTCAGACTGTCATTTACTAATGATATATACCTCTTTAGTATATATAAATGTCTCCTTATTATTATTTGTTTACAAAAAATCTATAATATTGAAAGGAATTTATAAAAATAAGAATAAAATAATAAAAGACGCTTCAACTACTTAATTTAATTTTCTCAACCCAATATTTCGTTATTCTTCACTTCTGGATTTAACTCACTTAAAATGTTTTTAATCAAGGAAATGTGTACAGTGCTCGTTGTATGTTGAAGTAACTCTTAAACCGAAATACAATTATTTAAGAAAGTTTATTAGTGCCCATAGCAACAACTTCATGTTCTACGCCTTTTAAAATATTTAAAGGACTCAACTCCGACGTTTGTGTACCCACTTTGTAGTCTGTTTCATTCCAAACCACTTAACCACGTATAAAAGTATCATCAATTTGCTACATTTGAGGATAACTACTAATACAAACTGTGCTGGTGGTATTTGACTTGTGGTTACCGGCGTGTGTTACCGTAACAATAGATTCTTTTAAAAATGTCGGTTACTTTAATGAACAAGAAATTAAGTGTATGTAACCTAAAGAGCCAATGAGTAATATTACTTAGTTCAATCAACAAAATTCTATGTTTAAAACAATATTATTAATATACTTTTGCTTAAATGAATTTATCAAATAATGTGAGATTTAACGACGAAAAAATATATGAAGTCATGAGTAGAATTAGTAGAAAATAGTCGAGTTACATGCCGTATGAGTGATATCAGATTAATGTATATATATAGGCCGTGTGCGAGTTCGAGTAAATTGATGGTAAATAGAAGGAAATAGTAAATTATGTCGGAGGCAGCGAATGTTGGTATTTACCAGAATTTAGAGTAGGGTAAATTAAATAAAAATTAGGTAACTTAGGTGTTACCATTGTGAAAATTTTATAAGATGTTTAATAAATTTGAAAACTTTTAACCTTAAATAATAAATAAGTGCAATAAATATATAAATAAATATTTATATAAGTGCAGTGCGGAAAATCTCTAGGAAATTTCAATTTACTCGAACTCGCACACGGCTATAATAAATGAAATACAGCCATCTCACAAAATATTAAAAATTAAAAGGTAACATATTAGTATATTTTTATAATTAAATATTAAACTAAAATTTAAAATAATTTTTTTAATAAAAAATATATAAAATAACTATTAAACATCGCGTCGATATATGAATTTATTTATTTTATTACATTGCTTTTATAAAAGTGAAAATTGCAATTAAAAAGGATATATAGTTTCATTTATTGTGTGTGTATATATTTTTTAAAAAATATTTTTATGTTTATCCTCTTAAAATCACATCAAACGAACAGAACTTTGCAAAGTGTGAATTTCATTTAACAAACACCACGAAAATATAAAAAGTAATTTTTCCTCTAACTAACATGGAAAACTGTATATGAAAGCAGGAGCGTATTTGGAACAGTATCCGAAGCATGAAAGGATAAAAGTGAACAAGTGAACGTATGAATGAATTTGGGATTTTTGAAAGCCAAAATGTCGGCAGCCATTAGAATCTCATTGAAGTTAACTAAAAGCTTCACACCAACTATTTGTTTCCATTCATGCCCAAAATTAAATAAAAAATTTTTAAATAAAATTTCCATAACACAAAGGATGTGCTACATTCAAAGTGAAAGTAAAAAGTATTTTGAAGAGAAATTTATATGGCATGTATTTAAATAATGTTACAGTCGATATTGTAGTGGATAACTTGAATTATAAATATTTCCTGTATTATATTAAAAAATAAACTTCTACAATAACAGCAGAAATAACTAACGAATGTGGCTCTATTGGATTATTTGAACAAGAATTGCTCTTTTTCTGTGACAATTTTAAAAGTAAAAATAGTCAAAGTACGAGCAACAGTTAAACACATAACTCCTCTATTCAAGTGAAATTGAACCAATCTGTCAAATCTATAAACTTGGCAATGTTCCTAATTTTCCAGGATGATAGCTTTGTCAGGTCAATAAGTAAAGGTGATTTGAAGCATCTTTGAGTCAGTGATGGACACTGACACACATGAGGTAGAGTACAGTTTCATCCTTACCCACAGAGCCACAACCCTCAACAGAAAACATTATAGGATACACTAAATCTCATACCATATCTTCCTAGTAGAGATATCCCTTCAACACCGATATCAAGCAGGTTACGCTGCTTAGTTGAAACAGCTAAGTGATACGTTTCTTATCTAGTTTGGACTAGGTTCATCTTGAGACCACGCAGAAGAGTTCATCTGCCCAAATTTGTTAAGCTATTTTCAAATATTTTTATTTGAATGCCAACTTAGCCGTTGCAAGTAAAACGGCAATATTCGAAAAATGAATTTCAGAGAGCAGAGATTGATGAACTTATCCCGAGATGTGTCTGTGTCCAGGTGCTCTTATTATCTGAACACTGACAATGCGGCAGTCAAACCTCATATCGAGACCAAAAACTTGTATGTAGATTCATTTTATCTTTTTTTATTCTTATTTTGGACAGTACTTACCTTCTTCTTTTCAGCAAATAATAATTTTATTTTTTTTAAACTTTCGTGTTTTTATATTAACTTTTTTCACACATCGTTTTTCCTTTTTTACTGTATGTGATCTTGAGTTTAAAATTATTGTAGATAACTAATTTTTCATAATAATGAAAAACGATTCCATTTAAATATCTTTATCAGGACAGCATGTTTTTTTCAAGAAATGATTCGTTCTACTTAAGACATTGTTTTAGGATTATCTTTGTTATATCATTTAATACATAATTTATTTTTGTCAACGTCCTTCGAACGGTATATATTCTTACATTAAATTTGTTGAAGCAAAATTTTTCGAACTAATTTTGGTACTAACATATTGACACCAGAGAACTGCGACGAGTTATAATTTTAACACTCAGAGTGCACTCATAAGAAACAAAATTTAAATGCATATAAATATTCTTCTCATACACTACTTATATGCATTCACATTCGCCATAGAAATGATTCATAAGTATGTTCGTTAGTGAATGCCGGTGCTAATGAATCAGCTTCACAAGAATACGTATGAGTCATGAATCATAGCATATACTCAGGTGAGTATGAATATACTCATTCGAATATACTCATTTGTGTGAGCGCTGTTGGTTGCTAAGCAAACAATTTACGTGTGTTTAGTTTTATGCTTTTGGTGTGTGTTGTTGTTGTTAGCATTGTAAATGCAACCGTTTTGTTTATGTTTTTGAATATTTAATGTCCATAAAATTAGGGATTCTTTTAGTAGGAAATTATATGCACAGTAAACAACAACAAGCAAATTTTTCTCACAGTCAATGATTCGAGTATGATTCAAGTGTAGAGTACTCATTGCACTTCTCTGATTGACACATTCTTTTCTTACTACTTTTTGATAGTAAAGAACACAAAATATGTTTAAAACACTACTTTCGGCTTTCCGTACTTGAGAAAGCTTCAAATTAAGACTAACAAAGTCAAAAGGTTGAAAAAGAAAGAACTGTCTTTCTGAACCGATAATTTACTATCCATCATCGATTTTTACCTCTAATCAGGTTTTTGCAAAGCTTGAAGTATTCTGAATTTATTTGTTATTTACTATAATTAAAAAAACATTTTGTTACTTATTAGTAAGTTAAGTTTAATGCCATAATTCTGTTTAAAGTTTTAATTAAAAATTTACTGAATTATTGAAATGCTTTTTTGCTCGTACATTGAATCGTATTTAAAATTCACTTATACACCACTAAGGGTGAAGGTCTCTCATACATCATAATATACGATTTATAATACATTTTTTAATTACATTTTTAATTTTTTAAAATATAAGTAGTTTAATTTAATTAAAATTTTGGTACCAGTCGATCTATACAAATTTAAAGTGGTTTTAATTTAAGTATAATATTTTTAAAAATGCTTCATATTAATTAAGTAGTGAATTCTAGGATCCTGAGATATATATTTAAAAAAAAAAGCAATATGTTAAATGAAATTAAACTTCGAATATAAATATTTTTTAGGTTAACACCACAAAACAACTAAGAACTTAAGCCTAGTACTATTAACCATTTGACATAGAACCCTATAGATATTTTATAAAGAAAATATTTTATAAAATTTTGATATAGTCAAAAATTTTTATATAGAGATTTATGTTAATGAAATTGATACTAATACTAGGCTTTAGACTTTTCATCAAAAAAAGTATAATACTCTAAAAGTTTATAATAAAAAATAAAGTCTTATATTTATAGAATACATTAAAATCGCATTGAAGAAATGAAGACAGACTATAATCTCTGGAAGGTATTTCAAAAATTTGTCTTTCTACAAAAATAAAATTTAATTTATACTGATTTAATTATCATTTCATTTCAGTTCATTTCAGTTAAAATCTGTATTTTTAGACTAACAATATTAATTAGAATATTTTAAAATAATCTTATTATTTAAGTTGTTAATGAAATTTAAAAAAATTATTAAAATATTAAATACTGATTATTCAGTTTTCTAACATATACAGTTTTTAAAAGACTGCCTATAAAATATTTTTCTTGTACTTAATTTTTTTTTTATGTACACAACATAAATCTGAAAAGGACGGAGAGTACACAACATAAATCTGAAAAGGACGAAGAGTGTTTTTCGCTCTCCTTTTCTAATCGCTGCAATTGCAGCTCAAATTTAAAGACTTATTCTTTTTACATTTGAGGGTAGTTAAATCAACTTCAGCTTTCCGTTTATATGTCAGATGATTACCAACGTCTATCTGATCACTTTCGTCATCATCACCGTCATGACCTTCGTTGCATGTTGATTGTGTACGCTTCTTATTGAGCATATATTTTTCCCGCAGCTCGCATGCACGGACCTATATATCATTAGAAAATCTCATTTTAACTTTCACAAAAATTTATGTGTATGTTATGAATTATTGTCAAAAATTTTCTACTTACAAACATTTCAATAGTCGTGACATGAGTTTGCATGGTATATGAATCATCTATAATCGTATTTGAGCAAACGGATTCTTGATTTTCTGTGCCCTTTTTTTTTAAGGATTCTTCACGAATTATTTCAAAAAATGGTCTCATCCACAAAACGCAATTTTTAAGTGATGCCCAAGGCAAACCGGAAAGACGCACTGCAATTTTTCTACATATATTTATATTACATTAGAAAGCAATTGAAAACAATACGTAAATGAACATACGCATTAAAGGTGTGATACATCGCAGATGCAGCTAGTACAGCATAGCTATAATCTGCCATGTTTTCATCATAGGAACACAAATCAAGTAATTGCGCTGTCTGTGCAAATACGCAAGAAGAGAATTGTGGATATAGAAATCTATCCACACATCTATCATCCTCTATCGACTTGGTATGTATCAGCTCATTGTACTCATTGGCGTTTTCTTTAACTGTGATATCAATTTGGTTATTTGTCTGTATTGCCTCCGTCTTGGAGATATTATTATTGCCTGTGTTTGTGTCAGAGACCACAAGTGAATCTGATGTGTACTTATTCACATTCAATTGTAGAAAAATACCCAACCAGCTGATTGGTGTTATCGCATTGGTATCCCAATCGAGAATTTTTAACAATATTAGTTCTTGCCGACGAATATCAATCTCATTACAGACACCATCTGACAAAGAAGCAAGTTCTTTAATTTCTAATGCATGTATTTCTTCAACTTTTGAAGCGACGAACAAACATGTAACGCCAACCAGTTGAAAAAAAGATTTTGGCATCCACTGTACGGCGTGCATATAACGATCCATATAATCTACAGCTAAATAGTATGTTTCACGACGCTGTTTATTAGTTACACATAACTCCATCAACCAATTAAGTGTGATTGTACGGTAGTGTGGTTTCATATCGGGATGCTTTTTGAACATTATGCTGCTACGTACGTGCGCATATTTTTCATCTTTTTTGTGAAGTTCTTGCCAAACTTCGACCTCATCGGCCCACGACAATGCTGGCAAAGGACAAGGTCCAATCGGTCGGCTAGGAGTAACAGATGTCATGGAATCAGCATTAGAATCTGTTTCGTGCGCATTCAATTTATTTTCTTTTCCGATCGTACGCACGGGAGATGGCAAGGTGGAATCACTAGTGTAACATATGGAGTATAATTTATGCTCTTTGCACTGGACATCAATATTAGCGTCATTATCAAATGTTGTTTTCGCTTGCATCGGTAAATTTTCTAAGGTAGACGATAATAAACTAATCCTATCGAATGGTAAATCTTCATCTGAACAATAAAATACGGAACTTCCATCACTCTGGGTAGAAAGTGCTTCATACATCGTTGCAATTAAAGCTGGAGGCTGTACTATTATAAATTCTTCCTCCGTTATTGACAATTAAAAAAATTTTTGTACAATAACAACTAAACTGATAACAATTACTTAAAACCGATAATTTATATAAAAAAAAAGACTAAATACTCTCCGTACCTCTTGGTTCTCCAATTTTTTTGTTAATAGAAACTTAATTAATTACACAAATCTGTTGAATTGGCCTTTTTCTCAATTTTGCATCTGCAATGTAACCATCCTCAATAGATAAGTTCAATAAAGAGTTGGGAACGAAAAGGACATTAAACATACAAAATTCAAGATTAGAATTGGATGAGCTTTGAATGTGGATATAATATTTTATTGAAAATAAATGACAAAGTATTTTATTTTAATTTTTTTTAATGTGATAATATAAATAAATGGGAGAAAAGTATCTTTCCCATCAATGCCTACATAAAGAAACAGGTCGAATCGAAACAGCTAGTATTAGCTGACAGTTCTGGTTCTTCTATGTTATAACTTATAAGTAAACTTCTAATTGTCAAAACAAATTAAAACTTGATAGAACTTGATATTTCCACCACTCTATACCCCACAACGGTAATATAACTTAATTGTACCCATCCAATAAATACTGAATTAGTTGTACCGTAAGAATCAGCTGATCCTCTTAATTTTATGAAAAGTATTACAAATAAGAAAAGAAGTACAAATAAGGAGAAACGCAAGAACAAATTGAATTTTGGATTTCACCATAAGTGAAAATCTTATATTAGCTGATACATACATGAAAAGATCACACTACAAATCTTTTTACCCGTCGCCTTCTCTTCGTGGTCGAATTGAACAGTTTTATTTTTGCGTTTATGCAATATTTTTTTTAAAGAAGTTTTCTCTTAATTGCTACTAACGCCTACGCATCTAACGTTGGTTATTATTCTATTTGCTGAATCATAAAGCAGGACAGATATAATAAGAGACTTGTAAAGCGTTGTTTTTATTTGCCGAGACAGACCTTTATTTCTCTATTGTGTACTTAGCCCGAAGTAACTTCTGTTGGCCAGAATGATTCTTTCATGGAATTCTAGGCTGACTTTATTTTTTGTTTGTACGCCTATTTTTAATTAAACATAGTCTTTCACAACTTCGAACTTATAATTCTCAACAGTTCCGTGGGCTCCATGACGTTCAGAAAATTTGTTTATTGAAGAAGATTAGAAGAAAATTATAAGTTACATAAAAAATTGAATAACCAGCGATTAACATTAAAATAAAATTTCGTTTAGGAATAAAATATATATTCCGTAAAAATTTGATTAATAATAATGTAACATTTTTTACTACAAAAATGCAGTTTGCAAGTATTTCCATTACTGAAAATGTCAGTAAATTGAATACAAATGAGAACATTTGCATATTTTCATTTAAAAATGAAAAAACCACAATTTCACTTTTTCCACAAGATGATGACGATGACAAAAGATCGCATTTCCAATCGGACAGGTGAAGCAGAAATACAAGTGGAAAAATTATGTTCGCAAAAAGTGATTTAAATAGTAACAATGACATTAATCTGCAGTTTTCACTAACTTACTGCGAAATCCAACCAGGACAACGATTTTTAATCAAAAATCCTTCCTACATTGTTGGTTCGTTACATGCATTTTTATGTGAATCCGTGTAAATGTATCTGTGGGAAAAAAAGCCCATTTCATTTTCGCACGAATTGTTGGTACGACCTATACCATATTGACTGACCTACTGCGGGGAATTAATACAATAGAAAGGAGAAACATACCACAACAGAAACTTCAGTTTTTTATTTTAAAAAATATTTCTTTTAATGAATTCAATTAAATTTAAAATTTAAAAGCTTTTCCCATTAAAGACTCTTCCCGCGCTGATGAATATATGAATACTTAATGTCTCTGGGATGCAGAAAAAATAATTAAATTGCAAGGCTTTTGTTTTTTATCAAAGGTTCAAATATAGAGTTTAAATGTTATTTACAGTGAATAATTTAAATAGAAGTTTGTGTTTAATAAAAATAATTTTATTTGCTCTATATAATTTCTTTGTGTTCGCGCTCAAACGAAATCATAAAAGTGAAAGTGAAGTGAAAGTAGAAATTAAAGCAGTGGGTTGAAGTGAAATTCTCATACTGAATGGAATATTCTTGGTACATTTTACACTTTTGTAAACTATATACAGCTTTAAAAGAAAAAAAAGCCCGGTCAATGGAATGGTAGGAGGAAGAAAAAAAATGAATAAGCCAAAGAAGAAACTAGAGTATTTGTGGTGTTCTCAATATTATACAAACTTATATATCTACTTATATATTATATACATGTAGATATTTTGCTTCCTAAGAAAAACATAAATGAATAACTAGAATATTTGCTTCATTATTAGAAATAATTTTTATTAATATAAACATAATTTGAATTACTTTGTACGAAATTTATGATTATGAACATTTATATATTGCTGTTAAATATGTTATAAAATATAAAATAATGATTATCTCGGTAAACAGAGTACGGCAAGTGTACCCGCAATATAAAACTGCGTATACATGTTCTTTGATTTATTGAAAACTATTAGGGATTACTGTTAACAATACAATTTTATTTGAAGAAAGTTGTCACTTGCACTGAATTTTATGAAGATAGTTAGTTGTATTGAGAAGTCATAAAATACAGCACTGTGTCTTCCAAAATCTTATTAGAATTTTGCATTATTTACATATATATAAAGTATGTTCCACGACTACTCGTAGTAACTTTGAGTAACACTGTGTATTCACAAGTGCGTTCCACCAGCAAATTTTCGAGTAAATGAGACCATCTGATAAGCATCTAAGAAAGCGTAACATCCCTGTCGAAAATTGAAAATGCTACACAGGCTTTACTCGTACATTTTATTTCAAGTAAAATTTGCTGTTTTGGTTTGAATTTAAATTTTTGTACTGTTTTGCACTGGTGTTCTCACCAGATTTTACTCAAAATTGTTCCATGAAAATCTGTGTAATGAGCGCAATTTGACACTTTTTTTGTGTTACGCTCTCAGTTTGTACTTTACTTGTGTTTTACTTGAGTTTTACTACGAGTAGCTAGTGGAACACACCTATTGCTACATACACACGCATATTTCGGAATATCATGCGAACGTTCAAGGCAAAAATAAAGAAATATACAAAAAAAAAATGCATTCACAAAATTCGTTAAAAAAACAGACCAAAAGCATAGAAAAGAGCACAATCAATTAAAACACAAAAAATAAAACATGTAAACACATTAACATGTACGCTATATATTAGAAAATATATACCTACATACATATTTTTTAATATGCGTATCAGCACAAAAACAAAGGAAAAAACCACTCGCCTTAATTTCATGATTAAAAAATCTGCAAACAAAAAGCATAAGAATTGCACAAACAACCGAACAAATATGATAAAAACAACAGCACACATCCATACATACATACACTTGTCCAAAAAGTCTTCAAGATTGTCCGCGGACAGTGTGTGCATTGCGTTGAAAACCACGGCACAACAACAATAAAGTGTGTCCACTTGTTAATCCTCTGCAAAATTACATGGGACTATTATTTCTGCATTGTTGTTGTTTGAAAGCAGATCAATGACGAAACGAATGGTTAAAGAAAGGGTAGGAGTAGTTATTTGTAATATTGAAGTGAGGTTTTTAAACAATATTAAGTATTTTTACTGAGAAATAATATTTTTGTGAACATTTATAAAAGATAATAACGTTTAGTAAAATATAACATAACATATAAAGCGAGGAGAAAATTGTCTTTATATCAAATAAAACTATGTTCAGTGATTGCGAAAAGAAAAAGTTTGTAATATTAAAAGGAACACTGCGAGAAAAACTTGTTATTTCAATTCAAAAGCTTTAACAAAAGCTTGAGTGTAATTTGTTAAAATAATCGACTATTAGTCATTTTATCTGTTATTTAGCATTTAATCGATTATTTGTGTCGCTTTAAATAAAATTTTTGTATTTACATACAATAATTTGTACAAAAATAATTTTATGCTTTACAGTATGTAAACACTATCGCAATTAACTTGACAAATATGCAGCAATAATTGACATTTTTCATAGAAAATCAATGGAAATTTGTAGAATGGATTTGACAGCTGTAAATGTATTCACAATATTAAATTTTATTAGTAATTTAAAAATGAAATACATTACATAAAATATCAAAGAGTAGTTTAAATCGAAACGGTATTACACTTTAATTTTACACTTTTATCTTGTAGCTGTAATAATGTCTTAAAATGCTTTTTCTTATTAAATAATTACAGTGCTACATTTATTTTTAAAGTTATACATATTTTTATCTTTTTGTTTAAGCTAATACTTAACTAAAAATTTTCAATTAAAATTTATATGCATTGTACAGTAGTATAGTATTTACTTTACCTTTAAAGTATATACTCTTAAATCCATTAAGAGTTCGTATGTCAGTACTTAAAGAAATTTCTTCTAAGTTCAACTGTTGCGCAAATATCATTTGCAAAATTAAATTCTATTTGTGAAGCACTTTTACCAAAATGTGTTTTATTTAAAATATTTTAAATAAAATTTTCTCAAATAAATTTTTCATTTTAAAAAATACCTTAAATATTAAAATATTTAAATAAATTACATTTAATTTTAAGTAAGTAAGTTTTTATTTTGTGGCTATTACTATTAAAAATGTTTGTACGATATATATTTACTCTGTACTTTACTTATTATTCTATTTATTATTAAAACTATACATAAAAAGGCTTAATTTGTACTCCCGCGTTTCACACACTTCTACTAATTGGAGTACGGCTTCACCACAGGGTTGTATCTACCTCCAATATAAAGTGTAAATGTTTAATAGAGGTAACTTTGAAATTCAATTATCTTAAGTAACCATTACTACTGCTTCATACAGTACTTAGTATATTTATTTACCTAAATTAATAGTAATTATATTATATTCCATTAATAAGTTTTTCTTAAAATATAATTTTTTCTGCTGTTCAATTTAAATGGATAAACAAATGTCAATGGA